AGTTCATTAAAGACTACTGTGGCTGTTCTGTATTTTGAATTAAGACAGAGAAATCCTGTCTTGGGAAAATAAACAAAGAATCACTAAAATGAATCCTTTGCTTTACTAGAACAATTGATGCTGGTCAGCTGGAGTTGAAAAATCAGCTGTGCTTAAGAAGAGAACATTATTATTGAGGCAAAATCTTCTGGGAAGTCTTTCTTCAGAGTCAGCACACATAAGCTGTGTTCCAGAGGCAGCCAAGGTTGCATCTAATAAATGCTGAACTTGGTAATGTCTAAGTCTCTAAGGTAGAACTGGTTTTGAAGGCATGAATGGGTCATGGACAGCAGCTGACGCTTGGCACTGTGAAGATAGTGTGGTGGTTTGAAAGAAAATGTCCCCCAAAGGAGTGGCACTATTAGGAGGTATGGCCTTGTTGAAGTATGTATGACATTCTTGGAGGAAGTGTGTCACTGTGGGGGTGGGCTTTGAGGTCTCTTTTGTTCAAGCTTCCCTCAGTGTGACACTGAGACCACTTCCTGTTGCCTTCTCATCAAAATGTAGCCAACATCATGTCTGCCTGCATGCTGCCATGTCCTGCCATATCTATATAGTGAATTTCAGAATAGTCAGGACTACACAGTCATGTTCTGGACCTTGCCTTGGTGCTTCTGACACCCATGTACAGCCCTTGGTGGCTTCAACAGTGATCTGTGTACTTGAGTCATGCTGTTGTTTGTGTTGTCAGTAGTACTCTATGTTATATATCCCCTTGTTGTAGAATATTATTTTAAGATGTGTTACATTTGTTTATTCTGTGGAACATTTGTTTAATAATGCAAATGTTGCATTCTTTTATGTTGCATTTGTTTAACTCTGTGAAGCTGTGTTACTGTGCCTGTCTAAAACACCTGATAGTCTAATAAAGAGCTGAACAGCCAATATCGAGGCAGGAGAAAGGATAGTCAGGGCTGGCAGGCAGAGAGAAGAAATAGAAGGAGAAATCTGGGAGGAGAAGAAGAAGAGCAAGAGGGATCTAGGAGGATGCTAGGGGCCAGCCATCTAGCCATCCAGGCAGCCATGGAATAAGAGTGAAAGTAAGATACAGAAGTAAGAAAAAGAAAAAACCCAAATGTGGTGATATATTGTGTTTTCCAATATACGGTACACCCTAATAAAGCTTATCTGAGGATCAGAGGAAAAAGCCAGCCACTATACTAAACAAAGAAGTCAGGCAATGGTAGCACACACCTTTAATCCCAGCACTTGAGATCTCATGTCTTTGCTTGGGAAGGACACACGCCTTTAATCCTAGGAAGTAATATGGCAGGACACAGAAAGGTATATAAGGTGTGAGGAAACAGGAACTCATGCTCTTAAGGCGTGAGGACCAGGAACTAGATCCTTTTAAGCAGTTCAGCTGATATTCCCTTCTGAGTGAGGACTCAGAGGCTTTCAGTCTGAGGAAATAGGGTCAGCTGAGGAGTTGGCGAGGTGAGGTTGGCTGTGGCTTGTTCTGCTTCTCTGATCTTTCAGCATTCACCCCAATATCTGGCTCCAGTTTTTTTTTTATTAATAAGACCGTTTAGCAATTCGTGTTACACCCAGAGGCAAAAGCTAAATGGGGACAATTTAAGTTAAGAAAAACTGGCTAGAATCAAGCCAAGCTAAGGCAGGGCATTTAAAATTAAGAATAAGCCTCTGTGTATGATTTATTTGGGAGCTGGGGGCAGACCCCCCCAAAAAGAGCAAAAAGAGTAAGAGTGAAAAACAACCAACGACATTTTGGTGTTCCAGTGTGGGGCCATAGAAAGCTGAACAACATCTCTTGCTGACCCTGTTGTCTCACTTATGTTCTGTATTGTCCTGTTTCTTCCTTTCTAGAAAGTCCACTTATTCTTGATGAGTTTCTGTTTGGCCTCAAGATGCTAGAGCTATTTCCTCTGTACTACCAGTGCCCATTTTGGCTACCTCATCTGTCATATGACCAAATTATTCTTCCACCTGAGACAACATGTGATCATGTGGACTCTGAGCTACATTCTATTGGTACACACTTATAGATATATGCTGAGACCAGAGCTCAGTTTTACCTGACAGCATTGTAGCTGAGTCATAGTTGAGGCCATGAAGCTGAGCCAAGGACTCTTGGGACTGAGGACAGTGGCAGGGAAGGCTCCTTAGAATAGGCAGGATTGAAGCTAGTTTGGGTGTGAGATCCATGCAGTGGGGTAAGGCAAAGCACACAGGAGCCAACCCAAGACCATGAGAGGAAGGGACATTCTGTGGCTCTGTTCTGCCTACACTTACAATGCTTATAGCATCCTCTTTCCAAATCTGGAGCCTGGACTAGAAGGCAGGTGGAGGCTGTTAGGAAAAGAGCCTCTGTAGAGGTACAGAGACAGTTTGGTTGAGAACTCCGGGATTGTTTGGAGAAGATGCTTCAGGAGTTTCAGCCTGTCTGAGTTCCTACCTCTTCAGACTTTTGAGATCAGGGTGCCAGCTTTGTCTGGGATGGGAGGAAGGAGGGAGGAAAGAAGGAGGGAGGAAGGAAGAGAGAGAGAAACAGAGAGAGAGAGAGAGAGAGAGAGAGAGAGAGAGAGAGAGAGAGAGAGAGAGAGAGAGAGAGAGGGACAGAGACAGAGAGTGCATACCTGTGTGCTGCATATCTAAGTGCCTTAATCTGTACCTACCTGTTCATATTCTCTTTATATTTTTCTCTTTGTGCCTGCATGTACCTTGTAGGTTTGAATATGTGATCCTTTGTGTGCATCTCTGAGCACATATCACTTGTGTCTCTGTGTTTATACTGTGCCTGGCTGTGTATCTCTGTATGTGTTCTGTTAATTTGCAGGAATGTGTCCTTGTGTGTTTCTTTGAGTGTCCATGTGTTTCTGAGTCTCAGCTGCAGAGACAAGTCCTTGGAGACAGCTTGGGATGCTGAGTCCTGGGGCGTCTGTCTGCTTTGGCCTTTTCTGGTTGGACAGGTATCCTAGCAACACTTCTGTGAGTTGCCTAGCAACCAGGTCCCCATCCTTGGAGAAGGAGCAGGGTCTGGCTGTATGTGGGAGGTCTGGCTCTCATTCAGCCCAGACAGGAAAAACAACCCTTTGATTTGATGATGGCTAGAGACCCAGCATAGGGTCCCTAGCCTACATGACCTTGACTTATGGCTTTTATTTCAGTGAACTGTGACCCCTCTGCTGGCAAGGAACATGGTCCCTAGGAGCTTGCCAACTCTGTGTATACCAAAATCCATGTCTGGGGCTCAGCTGTGGTGTTGGCTCCAAGTGACCAGCAGATCTGGCTTCCTCTTATTCCTGCCATTTTGACAGGCAGCTTCAGACCTCAAAGGTGTGATGCTTTCATTTGTGTGAGGATAATATGGGTGGCAATGGCCACGTGTAGTGGGGGTTCATGAGCTCAATTTTGTCTTAGGCTTGGTGTACATTAGGTATAAGCAGCATCAGTAGATGCAGGGCAGTACTGGTTCCTCAGTCCAGACAATCTCATGTTTATTTGCAACAAGACCCTTACCTGGAGAACTAGTTGGGTCAGGATATTGCTGTCTATTGCTTTCCCACTAGACACCTGGCTGAGGACAGCTTTGGGCAAGAAAGCCAGCAAAATCTGGTCTGTGCTAGGCTGTACAAAACATTTTTGCTGGGTGGTAGTGGTGCACATCTTTACTCCCAGCACTTGGGAGGCAGAAACAGGTGGATCACTGAATTCAAGGCCAGCCTGGTCTACAGATCGAGTTCCAGGACAGGCAGGGCTACACGGAGAAACTCTGTCTCAGAAAACCAAAACAAAATAAACAAAAAACCCAAACTAAGCAAACAGCCCCCCCTCCAAAACAACCAACCAATCAACCAACACACACACACACACACACACACACACACACACACACACACACACACACACACACCAAAACAATATTTGCATGTGTTGGAGCCTCACATCTGCCTCTGGGTGAGCTTTCTCTTTGTACATCTCTGAGTGTGTCTTCATGTCTAAGGCTGTGTGTGTGTGTGTGTGTGTGTGTGTGTGTGTGTGTGTGTGTGTGTGTCTGAGTTCCTGTTCATGTCTCCATTTTTGTGTTTATGGATGTCCCTATTATGTGTCCCAGCTTCTGAGTGTGTCTGTCTTGGGTGGGTGGGTCTATCATTTCATATGTGTTCTTATCTTTTGCCTGTTCCTACCTGGTGTGGAGCCTAGGGGGTTCTGGTCTGGTGATCTTCCTTTTCTTGGCTCCCTTCTCCAACCTGCACAGCCCCTCCCTCTCTCAGCCGCAGCCTTCTGCCCTTCCCCCGCCTTCTGGCTGCCGCACTGGCTGCTGCGTCTAGTCAATATCTTATCTTCGGAGCAGGAGCTAGGAGCAAGAAGCCATTCACAGCCTGAGCAGACCCCATGCTGGAGTGAGAAACATTGCTCAGTCCACTGTGCTCCTGCCTCCCTGCTTTTCCGCTAAGCATTAGGGTCTGTTTTGGCCCAGCTTCTGAAGAGGTTGTGTGTACTGTTGGAGGTAAGAGGGACTCTAGTGAGAGCTACTGCTGCTGCTGCTGTGTGTGTTTGTGGGGGGGGAGATTCGGGGCTGGGGGTTGGGAGGAAGCTATGTGAAATGACTAAGCCCTAGGTATTTCTGGGTAAATCCCATGTCTTTTGTGCTCCAGTGTGCTTTCAGATGGTTTGGGCATTTTCGTATTCAGATGGCTGTGTGCCCCTGAGTCCCTGTGGGTGGACATGTATGCTTGTGTAGCTACCTCTACATAGCTTCTGTATGAGTCTGTAATCCTAATATGAAGTACTCTTGCGGCTACATGTGCTCCCATACCTCTGTGTGTGCTATCATGTGCGCATGTGTGTGCTTTTGTCCTTGTGTCCATGTGTGTGCCTAGTGTTTGTGGATGCCCATGGAGGTGTTCCATGTGCCTGTTAGGCTAGTTGTGCTGTATTCTAAGGCCTCTGTGGACTGTGTCTAGCACTGTGGTCACTTTTTCTGTGCCCTGTTCCAGGAACTATATTGAGTGACTTTGCAGGGTGACAGCATGGAGTCCCTCTTCCCTGCCCCATTCTGGGAAGTCTTGTATGGCAGCCACTTTCAAGGCAACATGTCTCTCCTAAATGAGACTGTACCCCACCACCTGCTGCTCAATGCTAGCCACAGCGCCTTCCTGCCCCTTGGACTCAAGGTCACCATCGTGGGGCTCTACTTGGCTGTGTGCATCGGGGGGCTGCTGGGGAACTGCCTCGTCATGTATGTCATCCTCAGGTAGGCTGGGCCCCACCAATCTGTGGAGAGGGAACCTGAGCCAGAAGGCTGTTGTGGATAAATCTGAGCAAGTATGGATTTTTCTACTTGCTCCATCAAATTTCTTTCCTCTCTATTTAGGGGGCAGGATCAACCTTGATGTTCAACTCCTGTTCTGCCCCCATGTGTTCCAGACTAGGTGTCACCACCTGGAGGCTTGGAGCTGCAGATAAGTTTGTGCCATGCTGTCTGTGTGAATGACCTCATGGGTACACAGGATCCTAGTGTTTCTCAAAGAGAGGCAGAGGGGCTGAAGCCCTTGTTCTTTGGCTCTTGGGATCTCTGTTCATAGTGAATGTTTTTGGCTGATCCCACCCTCTACTGGTGCTCAGAAATGGGAAAATTTGGAAGACAAAAAGAAGGCAGCAGTACTGGGTGGTTGAGGTAGAGTCGATAGTGAGGGGACATGGATGGGGGGAGTATGAGGTACAGTTCTGCGGACAAGAAAGCTACACAGGAGTGTGCAATGGGTAAATGTGTTGTGGCAATGACGGTCTCTGTTTTTTTCCAGCTGGGAGGGCATTGAGGGGGACTGGAGACAGCAGGTGAGGACTTGAATGCCAGGTTGGGGACACCAAATTCTTTGGGCATTGGAAAGACATGGGAGGTACTTTAATAGTAAATAACTATAGCAAGGTTCTTCACTGATATAAGATTCTTCCTCTTTCAAAAAGAGATGGCTCTGAAGAAAGAGATTATGGTCTCCTTGATGGTATCAGTGTTGGTGGAGGCAGGACAGAACAGTGCAGTGTCAATACCCTACCTCATTACCATCCTCTTAGTATTTCTGAACAAATTCTGTTCACCATGGGTCTTATTTTCTCTATTTGTTAAGTGGGAAATGTGGATTATATAGCCATATGTATGTGCATGTGCACACATGTGTGTATGTATGTGATATGTGATCAGACAGTGCAGTAGGAAAAGCCTTCCCAGTATTGACTTCCAGTAGAGGACTCTTGTGGGAAACTATTCTGTGACCCATGTGCCTCTTAATGGATAGAGGGTGTGTCTTTGGCAAGAAGTGCAGCAACCTGGGGCAGTTTATAAGCCTTGCCCACCCTTCTTGTCACCAGTACTTCTCTCTTACATTTCTCCTTTGTGTTTGGGACATTAAAACTCTTGGAACCATTTATGGCATTAGAGTAGACAAGAGAGGCTATTTTATCCACCAGCATCTCCAGAGAACCATTCTCAGCAACTGCTGTGGCCACACTGGCTCAGGAGACAGCACACACTATGTTTGAATTGGATGTACATCGGGAGCCAGAAAAAATCTGAGTCCCATTCTACACTTTAGCAGTTCTAAGCCCTTATGAAAGCTACTCAGCTCCTCTGAGCCTCAGTTTCCTTTCCCTCAGAGTAGGGATCAAAATAGCATTTTTGTAAGCCTCAAATGAAATAAAAATCTATGTAAGAGCTTGTCTCAGATATCTACCATTATTATTGACATTGCAATTTATTGTAATTAAGGTCTCTGGACTTAATAGCTAAGAAACAGAACTTAATCCCCGATTCCCTGATAGCAACTAAACTGACACAGACTACGTCATCTTTAGTGCTGCCACTGCCATACCACCATCATCACTGACATCATTTTCATCACCATCGCTGTCATCAGCATTATCCCTGTAACCACCCTTCTCTACCACTGTCATAAACATGAATCCATCCCATTAATATTTGTTACTTACAATGTTCCTAGCATGGTTCCAGGTGCTTGGAAACAAGCACACCTAATTAGTACCTCTTCTGTTCTTGTCACCATTTCCTGTTTCCTTTTTTAGAATTAAAAAATTAGTGCATTTATTTATGTGTATGTGTGTGTCTCTCTGGATGTGTAGGTCAGATGAGGGAGTTGGTTTTCTCCTTCCACCATGAATGTCCTGGAGATAGAGCTCAGGTCGTTAGAATTGGCAATAAGTGCCTTTACTGGCTGAGCCATCTGGCTGGCCCACCATTGCTAGACAACATTGTCACTTGAAAGACCTTTGATGAACTTTCCAGGCAGTGCCCTGAAAAACCTCTGAGAGGAGTGTTAAGAAAGATTCAGGAGAGAAGACAGTATTTCTCTCTTGATTTCTTCCACAAAGCTCACATTCAGATTAGATATGTACTCGATTGCTCCTCCATGCCCCAAATTTTCCAGGGTAGTTCTCTCTTTAATATTTGAAACCTTTCTGTAGATGTCAAAATCACATGAGGATCTTGTTAAAGTGTTTGTCCCAGGCTCAATGGACCTTGGGTGTAGTGCAGAATCTGCCATTTAACAAGCTTCCTCGGAGACTTTGAAGTTGAGAGATTCAAAGATGATGATCCTCATGGTGGTCCCTTTTGCCAAGTCCAGCCAAAGTGGCCAAGTGGAGCATTTCTTCTTCCTGTTCCCTACAGGCATACCAAGATGAAGACAGCTACCAACATTTATATATTTAATCTGGCACTGGCTGATACCCTGGTCTTGCTGACACTGCCCTTTCAGGGCACAGATATCCTATTGGGCTTCTGGCCATTTGGGAATGCACTGTGCAAGACTGTCATTGCTATTGACTACTACAACATGTTCACCAGCACTTTCACTCTGACTGCCATGAGTGTAGACCGCTATGTGGCCATCTGTCACCCTATCCGTGCCCTTGATGTTCGGACATCCAGCAAAGCCCAGGCTGTTAATGTGGCCATATGGGCCCTGGCCTCAGTGGTTGGTGTTCCTGTTGCCATCATGGGCTCAGCACAAGTGGAGGATGAAGGTCAGTAGGTGGTCCTCCTCTCTGACCAGTTCCCCATGGTTCTTGGTGGCCCTTCTGACCCCATTTCTCTCCTGCAGAGATCGAATGCCTGGTGGAAATCCCTGCCCCTCAGGACTATTGGGGCCCGGTATTTGCCATCTGCATCTTCCTCTTTTCCTTCATCATCCCTGTGCTGATCATCTCTGTCTGCTACAGCCTCATGATTCGGCGGCTCCGTGGTGTCCGTCTGCTTTCAGGCTCCCGAGAGAAGGACCGGAACCTGCGGCGTATCACACGGCTGGTGCTGGTGGTGGTGGCTGTGTTTGTGGGCTGCTGGACACCTGTGCAAGTCTTTGTGCTGGTCCAAGGACTGGGTGTTCAGCCAGGCAGTGAGGCTGCAGTCGCCATCCTGCGCTTCTGCACGGCCCTGGGCTATGTCAACAGCTGTCTCAACCCCATTCTCTATGCTTTCCTGGATGAGAACTTCAAGGCCTGCTTTAGAAAGTTCTGCTGTGCTTCAGCCTTGCATCGGGAGGTGCAGGTTTCTGATCGTGTGCGCAGCATTGCCAAGGATGTGGGCCTTGCTTGTAAGACTTCTCAGACAGTACCACGGCCGGCATGACTAGGCGTGGACCTGCCCATGGTGCCTGTCAGCCCACAGAGCCCATCTACACCCAACACGGAACTCACACAGGTCACTGCTCTCTAGGTTGACCCTGAACCTTGAGCATCCAGGGCCTGGAATGGCCTTTCTTTTGGCTCAGGATGCTTAATCCTAGAGGAAGACCTTGTAACAACACCATGGGACAGGTCCAAGCATCAAGGTAGCCTCTAAGGCCTCTGTCAAATTAGGCTCCCCCCTCCGGTGTAAGACCAGAGAGAACCAAAGGACACTGAATGGAAACATCCATAACACTGTGGACATGCCTGGTGAACCCACATAGGTATTCATGCTTCACTTGACTCTTCTCTGGCCTCTCCCTGCTGCCCTGGCTCTAGGTAGACTCAACCTGAGGTATTGCAGTGATCACATAGTCACATGTTTTATTATATTGCCCTCAGCCTTTAACTATTTCCATAGGACTGCTGAAAATACTTGGTGTTGCCTGGTGCTGCAGTGGGCAGTGCCCTAAGCTTGGAGCTGCCTTGGAGCATTTTCTGGTTCTGACTCCACTGATGCAGCCAGATTACCCGAGGTGAGTGGGCATCAGTGGGTTCTTGGATGGCTGTTTTCTGAAGATTCTCTCCATGCTGTACCATGAAGTCTGTGAAGGGGACTTCACTTGCCACTGCCACTGCCTATTCTGACTGTGGCTCCAACATAGGCCACCTTCTCAGCAAGAGGCCAATAGGGGACAATACCCAGAACTTCCCTATGGCCCTTTCCCTCCAAAACCACTGTGAACTCTTATACCACAGACTGCTTGACAAGCCCTGCAACCCTACTTCTAGGTGTGTGGGAGGTAATCAGGAGAAAGCTGCTGTGTGGCCTCTGTAGGCTGCTCACAACAAAGAGGCAGCATGTACTGGTCTTGGCTGCTTAGTAAGAGCAGAGCAGAAGAATATGCTCTGTTCTTATTCTCCACAGCCTCCCTAAGCTCTCTGGCAGTCTCTATTTTACTTGACATCGGAGGTCAGCAGTTGTACTGCTAGAAGCATACTTGTAGCTTGGGAAAGGTAGCAGTCAGGATGTGTTTTGTTCTGAACCTATAGCGATTACCTGCTTCATTTACAGGCCTTAAAGCATGTTTGAGTAAGTCCTGAGCTTGCTGCCAAATTGGAAGTTGGAATCAAATGAAGAGTTAGTGTGAAAGCTGAAGCCTAAAATGGCTCATTTGAGTCAATCTGCAAGGACCAAGGGATTTGGGGACATTGGAAGAAGAGTCTGTATCTTGGAGATCTATTTGATGGTTCAGAGAATAAGAGGCCTTGCAGATGTTCTTTTTGTGGATCAGTTACCAAAATACTAGCAACCTTGGATAGACTTTGGTCTTCCACTGAGATCTTGGTTAGGTGACTTCACACAATGTAGAACCTGGACTACTTCCTGATTCGGAGAGACTTGGCCTTAACAATCTTAATGAGGAGGCCAAGACTCTTTCTGTGACATTTGAGTGGGAACCATTAGCTATAGTGTTTTCTTGCCAAGGTTAAAAACTTTGTGAATTTGTACATCTTCATGTATTTAAGCATGCAACAAGTGTCATTTCCATGCATGTAGCCAGCCCTGCGCCTGCCTCTGGAGTAATGAAGGAGTGTCATAATAAACACTTACCCAGTGACCGATGCTGTCCATAGAATAAGTGTTGCTGACTCTAGCTACATGAGAGTAACTTGCTGGGAGTTCACATTCTTTGGGATGGACAGTAGGACCAGACGGATGGGTTCTTAAACCTGTTCTGCCCTTGGTAGAGGGTCTTTAAGAAGTCTCTTGACTTATGGGAGGGAAACTAGATCCTGGGTTGCAGAGGCTGCTGCCTTTCCTTCTCCCAAAATAGTGACTACTCTTTTCCCACCCTCAGGGGCAGATGCTTTTCTTCCTGGCTTACAAGCTTTTCTTTGCCTCAATTTGAACAGGATCCTATGTGCTAAAGCCCTTGCTTCCAGTACAGGGCTGGTGGATCAAGGTTTGGTTTTATTCAAGTTTTAATGACAGATGCTGTCAGCTTAGGCTTTTTTTGTTTGTTTGTTTTGTTTTCGTGACAGAGTTTCTCTGTGTAGTTTTGGTTCCTGTCCTAGATCTCACTCTGTAGACTAGGCTGGCCTCGAACTCACAGAGATCCGCCTGCTTCTGCCTCCCAAATGCTGGGATTAAAGCCACCACCACCCGGCTAGCTTGGGTTTTTTCAGTCTAGCAGTTTATAAGCAATGGACATGAATTCCTCACAGGATTGAAAGTTGCAGTCTATGAAGGTGTAGTGGGCTGAATTCTATGAGATTGTGTTTTCACTGTATCCTTACTTTATAGAAAGATGATTTCAGAACTGCACACATCCCATTAATAGTAATAGTAAGTTTGTGGGGTTCCAACCTCATGACCTACAGCTGAGTCACCTCTTAACATCATCACATTGGGGGACAGGACTTCAAAATGTGAGTGTGTGTGTGTGTGTGTGTGTAGGTAGGTAGGTAGGTACACAAATAGTTCTTTGCTGTTGGTTTTTTCCAGACAGGGTTTCTCTGTGTAGCAGTCCTAGCTGTCATAGAACTCATTTTGTAGGCCAAGCTGGCCTCAAACTCAGAGAGATCCACCTGCCTTTGCCTCCCAAGTGCTGAGATTTAAGATGTACACTACCATGCTCAGTTCACAAATAGTTCTTAATAAACAGACTGGTTTCAAATAGAAATTCAGCATCAAGGAAAAATTTCCCTCCCTGATGAAGTTATAGTTCCCAAGAGATTGTATGTTTCTGATGTGTGGGGTTCTGGGCTGCTGATCCTGGCCAGTGTTTTAAAGGAGTTTGGCCATCAGGGGAGATGAATGTGTCTCCCTGGTTCTCCAGGACTATGTACCTTCCCCATTCCCTCCCCATTCTGCCCAACCCAGTCTCACATCTGTTTCTGTTTACCGTTGAGCCTGATCAAGTCTAGTTTCTCTGAATCTGAGTTTCCTTTTCTGTGGAACTGCACAGTCTTCCTCTTGGAGTTAAAAGCCAGGGTTCATCAACTGCTTTGGACTCTTCCCACCAGAGGGCACTGTGGCCCCATTGTATGCCCAGCCAAGTTCCTTGACCAGGTGCAATTAAAAACAACAGTGAGATTTGGGTATAAAGTGGGGTTAGATTTTCCTTGGGACCAGGAGCCAGAGTGTCGGGGTTTGGCAGAGTAAGTCCCTTCCCAGACTCCCAAGGAGTCCATGGAGAAGAACAAAGCTAGTTCCAACAGATTCCTAGTGAGAAGCACCCTTGTTCTTACTGGCTAGCCCTGGGTAGCCACAGGGGAAGGAGGCGTTTCCCTTTGCTGGGCTGTGGGTGGGAACAAAGGTCTGTGTAAGTACCACTCACCAAATGATTTCACCACTAGAGCATTGAAGGGGACAAGGGTTTGGAGTCTTCAGAGAAAATCTGACTGGTACCTCCTCTTTTGTGAGATGCCCTGCGGTGGTCAGCTCTAGCAAACCAGAGTCAGCCGAGAGACTATCCCCAAGGGTGCCTTGCTCTTTCACAGCCTAGTCCACTCACCAATATGCTCTCCTCCTGTTCTTCACACCCACTCATCTGCTCACCCTGTTCCTCCTTCACATCGCCTGGCACACCTGGTTTTACCACTCTCTGTGGCCTGAACGTAGTTCTGGAAAGTGAGAGGGAGCCTCTGCTGCCTCTGTCAGTGGGGCTCTTGTCCTGAAGGCTTTTACACAGGAGCAGTGTGCGTTAATTAGGCTTTGCTGAAGTATGACTACATAGTGGAGACATAGGCTCAGGCCCAGCTTGACCTCAGCAGAGCTGTGGGTGTGGGTTGTAGTTTAAAAAGGGCCCACAAGCTGGGCGTTGGCGGCACATGACTTTAATCCCAGCACTTGGGAGGCAGAGGCAGGTGGATCTCTGTAAGTTTGAGGCCAGCCTGGACTACAGAGCAAGTTCCAGGACAGCCAGGACTGTTACACAGAGAAACCATGTCTTGGGAAAAAACTACTCCCCCAAAGAAAAACCAAACCAAACCAAGCAACCAACCAAACAAAAACACCCCCAAAACAAACCAAACCAAAAAACAAACACCCCCCCCCCCCAAAGTGCCCACAGCCCTCAGTGTAGGCTGTCCTCAACTATTTCTCTCAATATTCAGCATATATAAGGGACTGAGAGTGGCTTCTGAGACTAGGTCACACAAAGTGTTTGTCTAGTTTTCCTTTTGACTTTCAGGTCCCCTGATTCCTTGATGTGAGAACACTCCAGAAGCTTGTAGAGCATCCATATCTTGCCAGTAGTCATGGGAGCAGTTATGAATCATTACGAGTTGTGGGGCCCCTGTGGGTATCCTGCGAATGCAGGGAACCATGCTGGCAGATGCATCGGGCTGGGCAGATGCACACACCATGTGGAGTATGGCGGCAGTGGTGGCGGCCAGTGATACACAACCCAGACAATGCATCCACATGGAGAGTTTAATTATAATAGAGAGATAAAAAGGCAGAGAGACAGAAAGGAGGAGACACACAGAGAGAGACAGAGAGAGAGAGACAGAGAGAGAGGAAGGGAGACAGAGAGGAGAGAAGGGTTTGAGGATGCGCAGCAAGGGAGAGAGAGAGAGAGGGAGAGAGAGAGAGAGAGGAGTTTTCCTTTAGAATGGGGCTTTTATGTCAGGACACAGGGTGGTGCCAAGGGGGTGGGGTTTCAAGGGGCGGGTCAGAATATTAACAAGCAGGACTTCTTGAAAGAGACCCTAGCCATTGTCTAGCCTTCAGAGGACGTAGACCTCACCAGTGTTCTGCTTGAAGTCCCATGGGAGGTTGAGTCAAAGCCTTTGAATAAGCCACTTCCCAGTTTTGGATCCTTAGAAGCTAAACACTTTATTTCTTGATGTCTAAGTTTTTGTTGCACAGCATTAAGCCACAACAATAGGCAATAGGTCAGGGAGACATCAGGAGGATAACATTTAAGGGCTGACCAAAGGTATGGACAGCAAAGTTAGCTAGCACTATCTGGTTTAAGGGAAGGTCCAAGTGCTCTGGCAAGCTGAGGACATGGTGGGCAGGAGTATGGCACATGCCATGAGGGTGTCAGAGTCTTGGGCCACAGCAATATTTGGCCTTATTGCTGAAGTGCCTGTGTAACACGAATCTTAAAAGGTCTTATAACAAAAAACCCAGAGCCAAATATTGAGGTGAAAACTGAAAGATCAAAACAAGCCAGCCACAAGTTCTTACCTATAGGAAATCCTCAGTCTCAAGAAGAGAGAGTTCCTGTTTCCTCACGCCTTATATACCTTTCTGTGTCCTGCCATATTACTTCCTGGGATTAAAGGCATCCACTGCTTGGTTCTGTTTCTCTCATGTAGCCCAGTGTGGCCTTGAACTCACAGAGGTCCAGATGGATCTGTGCCTCCTGAGTGATAGGATTAAAGGTGTGTGCCACCACTGCCTGACATCTATGTTTAATTTAGTGGCTGGTTGTGTCCTCTGATCCCTAGATAAGCTTTATTGGGGTACATAATATATCACCATATGCCTGTGCTTTTATAATCTCTCAGTTCTACAAGGAGTCCTGTCCCAGGACACATAAAGAACTAGTGAAAGGGCTCTCTATCTGTCCATCCTCTTTGGGTGACCAGACTTTTGCTAGCTACTGGGACCAAAATACCTGATTCTGTCTCCCCAGGGATGTCCAGGAGACAGAGGTACAGAAAGGCAATGTCATGGTTGTTTGTATCTGTTTGTATGGAGAACACAGGGATAAGTGTGAAGAGGCAGAACATCTCCTGGCTGGATTAACCTCTGCTTTTGGAGGTGATAAATGGCAAGGATGCTCAGGCTTCCTGACATATATTCTCCTACAGCACAGAAATTCTTGCAGAAGTTGTCATCCAGGAAGGCATACAAGAAAGGATTGAGGCATGAGCTGGCATAGCTGAGCTAGTGATGGCATAGGAGATGCTAATCCATGTCTGTAGTCTGAGCCAGCAGAGGCCAGGCAAGTGAAGGGCACCTAGTGGAGAAGGAACACAGCCAACACATTGAGGACCAGGACAATTACTTCCTCTTGACCTTCCTCAGAACCTTAGCACCAGAGTGGAGCCTCATTGTATGAAGTCTGGGTAGTAGATCTACATGTAACAGGCAGATGATGCACTCAGGCACTGAAAAGCCCAGAACCAATTGTATAAATGTGGCTTGGCAGGAACCAGGCCTGCTCTGGCCTCAAGAAGAGCAGCCCACAACTGGGTGCCTGTAACTCATTGCTGTAGACATGGGCAAAGGAAAAGAAAGAGCAGACCCATGATGGTGACATCCAGCCAGATGCAAAGGTATGTGTAGGCAATCTGTAAGATCTCACAGTGACCAGTACCACAAAACAGTCCACACTCATCACAACCGGGAAGTAGATGCTAAAAGAGATGTTATAGTGGTTGAAGGTCAGCACCAGTTTGCAGAATGGCTCCCCAAAGGGTCAGTGCTGCAGCAGCTACTCAGAGATGTTGACTGGGAGCACCAGCACAGATCATGGAGCACACAGTTGGCAGGAGTGTAGCTAGAGTTTTCCTGCCTGGCCCACAGTCAGGACAAATCTCTCTCACCTGCCAGTCCCACAGCCTCAGACCCAACCAAGTAAATAGAGACTTATATTGGTTACAAACTGTATGGCCGTGGCAGGCTTCTTGCTAACTGTTCTTACAGCTTAAATTAATCCATTTCTATAAATCTATACCTTGCCACGTGGTTCGTGGCTTACTGGCATCTTCACATGCTGTTTGTCATCTTGGCGGCTGGCAGTGTCTCTCTCACTCAGCCTTCCACTTCCCAGCTTTATTCTCCTCCTTGTCCCGCTTATACTTCCTGCCTGACCACTGGCCAATCAGTTATTTATTTATTGACCAATCAGCAACACACTTGACATACAGAACATCCCACAGCACAGGAGCATGTGGAGCATAGGTAGTGGCTCAGAGAAGGTGGTATTGGGCTGGGTGTTATTGTCCTCGGACAAGTTGGTAGTGGGGAAGCAGTTAGTAGCTTCAGCTGTCGGAAGACTCTGGGCACTCAGCAACATGCATCATGCTAAGGCTTGGACACTGATATCTGGGCTGGGGCCTCCTGGACTGTGGAAAAGAAACAGCCACAAAGGCTAAAACAGTGGCCACCTCAAGTTCTCTGAGGCTATTCTATCCACCCCGGCCCTAGGCCCTGGTGGGGCACAGAGTTCTCCAACTTCCTAGATGTAGCCCCATTTCCAAGTTCTGCTCATGTGAGAGAAGCTGCACACTCTCCTGGGAGGCTAAGGGTTGGAGTGGCCCAGAGCAACCCCACCTACTATCTCCAATATACAATAAGTAGAAGCAAGGCTGTTACCTAGATGGAGATGCACCTTTTAGGTGCTTCTCTGGCCACTTTGGATCTAAAATGTCTTGCTTTCAGGAGTCAAGTACTCACTCTCCCTAGTGCTATGTAAAACCCTGCTTTCCCAGATATTCCATTGACCTGTCCTCTGTCCAATGCCTTGTAGCCAGAAGATGGTGGCCTTGGCAGGCTCTCAGTGTGTGGGCAGCTATAAGATGAAGGGAGAGGTATTAACCCTCTCAGCAGAGATTGCAATTAGTCTTGCCCAACTGGGAGGGTAGTTTCCAAAACCCACTTGCCTGTTAGTGTCCCAACCAGTCCTGGTTACAGTGTGAATGAGCAGGGAGAAGAGTAGAGAAAACTGGGGGAGTTGGGTCCTACTATCTGACTGAACCTCCTGGAAGCAGGTTTGTAGCTGGGGAATTTCTCTCCAGCTCCTGCCAAGTCCTGCCAGTCCCGGAGCCCACTTATAAAATAAACACACACACTCTTACATTATTTAAACTGCTTGGCCATTAGCTCAGGCCTATCATTGTCTAGCTCTTACTCTTATATTTAGCCCATTTTTTTTAGCCCATTTTTATTAATCTATACTTTGCCACATGGCTCATGGTTTATCGGTACCTTACATCTCCCTTGTCCTGGCGGCGGCTCCAGGCAATCAATCTCTTCCCTTCCTGTTTCCTCAATTCTCCTCTCTGTTAGTCCTGCCTATAATTCCTTTCTGGCTATTGGCCAATCAGTGTTTATTTATACAGAGCGATATCCACAGCACTTCCCCTTTTCTTCTTTTTCAAAAAGGAAGGTTTTAACTTTAGCATAGTAAAATTACAGATAACAAAACAATTACCAAGCAAGAATTACAGTTATAATATCTAGTCTATTTATAATAACTAGTTTATTTGGAAAAATTAAAGAAGATATCCTATCTTATATTTGTGAGTCTAAGGTTTTATTTCTAACTTATCTTTTATCATAACTAATGAAAATTGTAACTAGTCTTCAACTACATCAAAGACCTCAGAAGGATATAATATTACCTGAGAAATGGGAGAAGGATGCAAGCAGCTTTTGGGAGTCTTGCAGGGTAGAGACAGCTGGCAGCCTGGACAGTGATCCAAAGTTCTCTTGTAAAGTTGGGGCATCTGTCTTCAGTCCACAGGCCTAGAGTCTCTCGGTCACTTCTGTCTGTGTCTTGTAGAATGTCTGGCAGTTTCCTCTGCGAAGCAGGAATCTAAAGGACCATTTTGTCAAGCAAAGTTCAGTGGTCACCTTTTTATGGGTCTTGTATGTCCAGTCAATCAAGCAGCCCAGGTAAGAACAGTTTCTTGCCCAAATGGCTATTTTTGCCAAGGTGAAGATAAACTCCATACAGAGTGTCTTCAATGCCCATTCTCCTCTCTGAAGTAAATCAGTGCTGCCAGGAGCAGACATGTCTCATTGTCCAGAAAGTCTAAATTTTTAAAACATTTTAAATGCCATATTCTGTAGGTCTTTGAAGTGTTTGAAGATTACCTATCTATCTGAAATATATCTGTGTATACCTAGAAGACTTAACTAACATGGCTACAAATATGATTATCATAGATGACTAATTATTAATCTATTTCTTAATTATCCATTACAATTTTAAATGAGTTACATAAACATAATACCTCAAACAAGAATAGAAATATATATACAGTATAACAAAATTAAGTTTAAACTTGTATCAATAAACTAAAATCCATAGCAATATAAAACATTTTAAACAAGTTATTACTCTTTAAAAGTAGGTTCATTAATCTACCCTTTCATCCTATCATATCTATATCATATCTCCTTTTGTTCTTTAGAAAGACTTTGTATTATAATCAACCTGTTTTAAATAAAAATATTGGTTTTTCTCTGTCCCATACCAGAGGGCTCTTCTGATATGGGACAAAAGAATCTTTTAACCTTTTATTTTAGGAATGTGTCTGGGTTTAGAGGGGGAGTGAGCCAATTCCATCTCCAAAGCTAGCTTGAAGACTAGCAGTTATAGTTACAACTTAGTATATATATATATATATATATATATATATATATATATATATATATATATATATATACATACACATATACATATATATACATATATATGTATATATATTATCTTAGATAGAACATATTAAGTATTAGATTCAGATTCTTTAGCATAGGACACCGTTTGGAATGATCTCTGTAACATACCATTTACCTATGCTCTAGACTTCTCTGGATTTTAGTATGTGTTTCTTGCTTGATACTGTTCGCATTAATTGTAGTTCCATCTTATCTAGGTCATTATCCCTCATTACTCTTGGACAATATTTGATAACCATTCCTTTGTATATAGTCTTGTATTAAGTTAGAACCTTCTTATTTAGACAAAAAGGGGGAGATATAGTGGGTAGCCATTTCAGCTTTGGTCTGGAAGTTCCAACCCCCACTGAGGCTTTGGTAACTATCATGCCTACAAGGTGGGGCAAAGGGAGGGCCCTGAAACCCGAGATCGGGATTCGCGTGCTGTCTTCCTTCTTGGACCATGGACACTAGAGGTAGACCGAGGAGAATTCTCCAGAGAACACCGCCGGACTGAGCTGTGTCTTTCACAGAACCCGCAACGTACCTAACCCTTCATTTGTAAGTTACGCCATTAAATAAATCTCTCTTTTAACTAACGTGGAGTGGCCTTAATAATTTCACCAATACAGGTTCCCCTTTAGTGTGGTGGTAATTTGTTGTACTCTAATAAAGCTTGCCTGAAGATCAGAGGACAGAGCTAGCCACAGATTTAGCCACAGAGGCCAGGCAGTGGTGGCACACACCTTTAATCCTAGCACTTGAGAGGCAGAGCTCTGTCTAGATCTCTGTGAGTTCAAGGCTACACTGGGCTACATGAAATTGATCCAGTCTAGGAGAGAAACAGAGCCTGGCAGTGGTGGCACACACCTTTAATCTCAATATTTGGGAAGCACACATGCCATTAATCCCAGCACTGGGGAGCTTGAGATAGGAAGTGAAATGGCTGGACGGAGAAAGGCATATAAGGCGCGAGGAGACAGGAAATAGAATCTTTCAGCTGAGGACTCAGAGGCATTCAGTCAGAGGATTTGTGGAGTTGGCGAGGTGAGAATTGACTATGACTTGTTCCTTTGTCTCTCTAATCTTTCAGCATTTACCCCAATATCTGACTCTGGGTTTCTATTATAAGACCATTTAGGATTTGATCATCTCCCCAGTGCTGAACTATGGTGCCTGCTGTTGGTGGTCTGAGATTCTATCCCCATGTTTCCTGTGCCTACTTCCCCATCCCCTTCGTGTGTGTGTGTGTGTGTGTGTGTGTGTGTGTGTGTGTGTGTGTGTTTAGTGTATGTATTTAGAAACTTGCTGGTTGTCATTCACTCATTAAGTCCCAAGTGGGTAGCTAAGAGATGTGTTTTTGTTCACTTGTGTGCTTGTGTGTTGGGAAAGCACCTACAGGGACTTCTGGGTTCTGAGGTTATTTGTGCTTCTGCCTACAGGCACTAGAGACCTGTGTACCTTTATCTGTGTACATGGATCTTGATAGGATTCATGCCTACTTCTAGGCATGCACATGGTTTGTGAATTGCATGTATGTGTAGGCCCATGTCTGCCTGCAGGGGTTTTTGAGAGTATCTCTGCACTATATCTGAGGGAGTCTGTGTGTATCATTGTATGGCCCATAATATTGGACTGGAGGACTGCTTGCCCTCACATGAAGTAAAATGTTGACCACAGACAACCTAATTTCTATTTCTGTTCTCCAGCCATGAGAGGTCATGAAAAAAGTCACTTGCTCCTGTTGTGCCCAGATCGTGACCCCCAGAGAGACCACCAAAGACCAGCATGCCAGAATGCAAAAGCAAGGTTTAATTCTGGGATATCCAAAAGCAATACAAGTCTAGGCAGGGACTTCGTCCAATACATCCAACACAGTGGAGGCTGGAGGAAGTGCCCACCTGTCTGCAAGCTCAGCTTTTTTTTTTTTTGGTTTTTCGAGACAGGGTTTCTCTGTGTAGCTTTGCGCCTTTCCTGGAACTCGCTTTTTGGAGACCAGGCTGGCCTCGAACTCACAAAGATCCGCCTGCCTCTGCCTCCCGAGTGCTGGGATTAAAGGCGTGCGCCACCACCGCCCGGCCA